AACTAAATAGAGCGTATGGATCGAGTTATAATGCGTTACATATAATTGCATTTTTTTAAAATATTAAACATTTATGATTCATGTAATGAAGTCGAATTTTTTTTGCCTCTAGTGAGTAAAAAATACCTACTTTAACTATACATAATAGGTATTCATAGTATTCGCCAATACAGGCTATACATATTTGATAGACATGTGTTGTGTTCTACACATAATATAAATGCGTCCATATTTTATTTCATAATAATTGATCTGTATGACAATATACGTATTTATAAAACACTGCAGGGATTACAAATAAACATTTTTACGTAATAATTTCTACAAACTTCTAAGTAGGCATAGCGTTATAATCATAAAAGGAACACTAAGGTTTTTCCGGTATTGTATAAGATATGTCGCGGTATAATTATACGAAGTTCTTCGTTTTTGACGGTTCGGCAACCTCAATTACAACAATGTATAATGCATGTATAATATTTATGCATATACTACGGTCAACTCTCATTTTTTTCCTACCAAGGTCGATATTTATTATACGCTGTATCATTTTTACTTTTTATTTGCTCCAATCATATTTATATAATACAATGTACATGACCGCCGATAACGTACACAGTGGAAGACCGAGACAATTTATAAAATACATGCGTACATTCAGGCATACATTTATAGTTAGTTTAGAAAACGAGTACGAATCATTTTATAACTATAGACGCACTACAACAGTTCAGTAAACCACACACGTAATAAATTATTAAATATTTACAAATATGTTTTTGAATCGTACCCATGTAAAATACATATAGTACAAAGTTAATTTTAATTTTTTCATGACTGCATTATAGGTACTCAATATATCACTTATTTACACACTCTAAAAAATCATATTTAAATTAATATGTGTTTAAATATTTATAAATATTCGCTACCAATATAATGACGAAAAAAATTGCAACATATCGGTATAACATTCGTAATTTTTTTTTTTGTTTTTTAAAATAATTTTTTACATCATATTTACGTTATAATAATAATTAAAATAATCGAAATGACTAAATATAAAATTGTAAACAGTTGTATAATTTATGCACTACGTTGAACGTATTCTGTGAACGAATTACTTTCAATCATCGATTATACCAACGAACAAAAACACAGATAAAAAAAAAACAACAATATGTTTATGTAAATCACACGAGTTTTGAATGACTTAAAAAATTGACAAATCAAATGGATAATTACATTTATCGGTCAACTTTTAAAACGTAGACATAATTTATGGACTGGATAATATAAATAATATATGGTCCATGGATTATCCTTAAGGCCAAATTTAGGAGGAAGCAATGGTTCCGAGCGACAATTTTTTCGGAGCGGCGGATTTAAACTGCTTCTTCGTATATTGTAACTCTTTATAAATTATAATAAAATTAAATAAAAATGGTGAAATTAATTGGATGTTATGTTCGATGTGCCTTGCAACCTACGTTTATCAGACATTTTATCCGATTAGTATATTATAATATTTTTCCGTTCGTCATCGCAACGACACGCACATTCGAATTGTTTACGATATATTTATAGAAATAGGATATACTGCTAGCCATCGCTGTAAAATAAGATATCATAAGCTGGTAACGATTCCTGACTGTAGTACAAAATTAATTTGGCTTATGATCATAGATGATAAAATATTTTATTAACTAATTATTATTATGATGGATATCGTGATTTGATACTAATAGAACGTAATAACAAAGTCATAACTGTACAAAACAACAATTTATAATTATATTATTTTATTTATTTGATCAATATTTGTTAGTTGTTGTGTTGTTTAATCATTATTAAAGTGTTTAAAAAATACATTTTTATAGTACTTAATTTTTTATTTATTTATTTTTTTTTTATGTACATAACATTCCTTATGGGTTGGAGGGGTAGCTCAATTTTGTTGCCCCAGGGAGGAAAAAGTATAAAAGCGGTCTTGAATATCTCCAAGAACTTACTACGAATTTTCTGCAATTTAATAACAGAAAACATGTTCGTTGAATGTTATATTTAGGGAACGGATTTATATGTAATAAAAATACAGAAATATGTGCTAAAAATATCCAAATATATAGGAAAAAATGTAATTAAAAAAAAAAAAAAAATTATAATAATTAAATTATCAAAATGATTTGTTGCATTGAATTATTATAATGTCTTTTAAATTATCAAATATTAAATGTCGCCTATTGGATCTGAAAATATTTTTAAAACGGCTAAATGATCGTTCCACATCAACCTACATGGGTTGATTAAAGCATATTTGAAGTGCATAATATCAGAAGGTGATAATTCCAAATTTTTAGAAGGGTGTCTGCCACTCATTATGTCATTGATTGATTGAAAATCAATATAACTTGGAATTTTTTTCTGTAACAGCATGAATTTTCTTTTTTACAACATTTCCTATTGGTCCGTTTACAAGTTTTCATATTGCTATCGTTGATTCGACAATTTGCATACTTTCATTTAAGGACATATTTTTACTTCTAATTTTGTAAATGTATGTGCAATAAAACTAAAATTCACCGAGATGAAAATTAAATTAGTTTTTTATGTTTCATTTTGCATAATATTTTGAGCTTTTCTAATAGCGATAGAAGTTACTGGATTCAAATTTGAAATAATTTCTTGTACTTTTGTACGAAGAAGACGTATGAATGATGAAATTATGAAATATGTAAAAATATGTAAAATAAAAGTAGCATTATATTAATAGAAATGATTTAAATCATGAACATTTCTTATCGAATCTTAAATATCTCTTTTTAATAAAAATATGTATTTACATATTAATCCTTTCCCTAGTTATATTAAGTTGTAGGTACCTACACAGTATACACAGACACAATAATTATAAAATTATGCCCAAGATAAAAAAAATATATTTTTATGTTTTTGAAACGGTTAAAAATTTAAAATACAATTATTGTTAGGTACCTAAATAAATACATGCATTAAATCAAACCTTATAGCAGTAGTGCAGTCGATGGTATCTTTTAGCATCTTATTCATTATTAATTTTAATTTTCACCTTTTTCATGAAGTGGAGATAGTAGTGATCAATGTTGGCCGGTCTAATTAAATGGCACAATTAATAATAACAAATTAAAATTGACCATCGTTATTTTTTAATAATTTATGAAAACGGGACATTTTAGTGTCCCGAAGATTCCCCAGAGGACAACAGGTTAAATATATAAAAAACGGAATTATCCCGTTTAAAGTGGAACGTATACTTAAACGTATAAGTAACCTTAAGTATACAAAATACCTACATCTGATGGCGACAGTGATTAACGGTTGCCGAGAGATTGTTTTGAACACCGAATGTTTACCGATTGAACGAATATAGCAAGAGGTAAACTATGACAACTGATGCGTTCAAGACAGTAACACATATCCGGGGGCGGAGTGAGGCCCTGAGGGTCTGGGTGGATACACGTTTTACAAACTAGTAAACAAGCGACTCATGTTATGACTCATTTTTGTAAATCGTATTGTTCCCTCGTTTTTGGCCATCTTGGTAACGATTACGGTGTAGCATTGAAAAAAGAATTAAAAATAACAAATATAGCTCGAGGCTCAAACATAAAATTTCTTGAGGGCTGGAGCGGACATGAACACCTACCCACCCTATAAGTCAGCTCCAAGCTTATATAGATAACACATACGTGTCCAATATTCATATGCCAGCGCTCAACATATTAATATAGTGTAGGAAAACATGAAAAATATACGAGTACATATCAGATGTCTCATATTATATAAGATGATCAACTTATAAACGCTCAAGTGTGTGTACCGGATACGATCGTTTTTTTTTCAACTGGACGTAATGTTACATGAATAGAATTATAGAAGAATCACAAACATTTATGTACATTTTTTGGGTAGGTACTGATTTATTTTAATGACCGGGGTAACTGAGTAATTTTTGCGAGTTAAAATCGTGCAGTACAATATTTTGATGTTTAAATCATACAGCAAGCTGGAGCTTGTTCATGTTGGCATCTTAGGAAGACACCACGCGGTTCGCTCTGTATACATCTGTGTACACGACACGCAGCGCGCACGGTATATCACGCGTCTGACAAATTATTTACAATCATAATCGTTACATCGGACAAGACAGAGCCGTACCGAGCCATTTTTAATCCTGAAGCAGAACTGAAGCAATGCGCCCCCTAGGTTATAGGGTTGTCACACTCACAGCTTTTAATATGTATTTTACGATTCGGAAAAATCTGAAAAATTGTGATTAGATTTCTAGCAAAACAAGAAATAACATTTCTTAAAAAGAGTTAATTATTTAATATTTTTGCGCCCAAGGCAAGTGCCTCGCTCGCTTCACCCTAGTTACGGCTCTGGGACAGAGTGGAATACACACGTTTCCGGGATGTATGCTCGTATTCTCATGACGAATGCGTTTTTTCGTGAAAACCTCCGAGCAGTAGCACTCGGTATCGGTCACATGTTTTATCGAAAATCGATCGCGGACGTACCGCGGCGACCGTTGTATTCAAACAGCAGCAACAACAACAACAACAACACGGCAATGTTATTATTATTATTATTATTATTATTATTATTACTGTACTGTGCCGCAGAATATTATAGTGTGCTGCACGCACCGGCGACGCAATAACAAAACACACGGCGCGTGCGCAAGCGCGAACGGTCGCCCGCGGCGACGAACGGGCATCGGGACAAATGGGCAACACGGCGTCGGCAACGGCAACGGCGGACGGGCGCGGAGAGGTGTCTGTAGAACGCACGGGGGCTCGTCATATTGGAATCTCCTTGTTTCCAGCGGTTGCCGGCAACCGGAGCGCGTTGTCGACCTTGATTGCCGGTACACTATTATTGTTTACATCGGGCCCGCTCAGCTGTAGCCAACCGCAGCGCTCCGTTCGCTAACTGCGCAATTCCGTCTGGAAGCGGTTTTACGTATCGCGCTATCGGCTTTTTTCCCACCGCCGCATACATCTTGTCAACGTCGTCCGGTCAACTTCTCCCAGCGCGCAACGCTTTTGCCCGTCGTCTCTCACGTCTCCTCCGCAGCTCTCATCAATTCGTCCGCACCGATCCGCCTTCGATCATCTCGCGTACGTGTTCCTCTTAAGACCCGACGACGCGTTCGTTTTTGCCCAACGCATTCCGCTCCACCCCCGATCGTCAGTTCGCTCAATACCCTTAGTTTCCCGTTTATCATTTCCGATTCCCCCGGTCCTGTGTCGTCCTGCTCGACTTAACGACTTGCCGGACCGCGTTTCTTCTCGCGTATACTTGCCCACAACGTGTGGTTGTCGGTCGCCGCTCTTCCCCGAGTGTCCCGAACGCACGCCATGGCCGAAGTCGATGATTCCGTTATTGACGTGGTAGCGTCCGAAGTGATCAACGGCTGCACCATTACCGGCGACAGCGACTACTCCGACAAAGCGGCTGATCCTACGTCCGTGGAGATGCGCGTCAAACGCAAGGCTAAACGTCTGGCCAAGTCCCTGTCCCGGGACAGCGGAATCGTCAACGGGCACGGCGGCACCGCCACCGTAGTGCAGCTCAAGCGGCGCTGGAAGAACAACAGAAAGTCCAGGAATGGCTTCACCAAGCGTGGTGACGTCAAAAAGGGTAAACACTTGTTCCTGTTGTTTTGGTTTGTTATTGTTGTTGTTGTTGTTGTTGACTGTTGGACTCTCCGCACTAGACCATGTGCTTTCTCGACTGCGTCGCGTGTTCGCTTAATTCATTGCCAGTCCGATGCACATGATTCGAATATCGTTGATGAATTATTAAAATTTATTTATATTGATATTGTTTTGATTCGCATTTAATAGGCCATTTTTATTAAAATGTTATCGTTTACCGCGTGTAAAAACCGCATGTTTACTAAATTTAGTTACGTCGTAGGTATTCTGTTGTGTACTTGGCATATAGTTCTACGAAATATGTTTATATAAATAGAACTTGGAAATAAATTTCCGCCGATGCCTACCCTGGTCTGAAATGTATGACTATGACCGTAATTTCGACACGATTTACACCTCATTGAAATTATTTCGTTTTAAATTTTCTTTTGCGTTTTAGCTCTAATTCTGGAGTATCTAAGAACTTAGATAAATACTTTTATAAATTTAATTACATTGAAATTGTTTTGAATGATCTACATTTTTATTAATATTTTATTTTATTTTAATTAATATTTTTATGAATCTATGAATTTATTTAAAAATAACTAATAATCTGAAAATGAACTATGATTTGAATTGCTGTGATTTGTATTAATTATACAGTAATATTCATTACAAATTGAGACGTTAGAAATCACTGTATAGCTCAATTTCTTAAAAAAAATATGTTATTATGTTATTGATTGTAAATTTGAATTCATTTAATAGCATATTATATTATTTAATTCCCCGTTTTTTTTCAAATAAAAATTTAATGCATTGATGTAGGTATGTGGTTTCATTATTGATTAATATTTTTGGTTAAATTATAGGTATATTTATAATAGGAGTCAAGTAAATAAGAATGATGTAAAACAGTAACAGAGATAATTTAAATTGTTATTTTATACATAAATTATGTTTATAAACAGATTATTTAAAGTAGTTTCTGATAAAATAATGAAAGTTACTTCAAATGTATTTTCATTATTATCTAGGTTCAATCGAGATGGACAATATCGCTTTAAAAATTTAGAAAAATAGCTCATTAAATGATATATAAAGTTAATAAATTTACTGTGAAAAAAAAACAACAGTAAAAAGGATTTATTATTTTTAATTATTGACGTATATTAAAGTACTTAACCTTTTTTTAATGCCATATTTATTATTTAAAACAACTCTTGTTATCACAAATAATTAGTTTGTTTATCCATAGATAATGTATGTTTTAAGTGTTACTGAAAACATTGTCTATCTTACATGGTTTGCATTATTAAATAAACAGATTGCGTAGCTGTTAAAGTATTGTAGGTACTGTACTGTTTAATTTTTATAGATCATTTTTGTTAAATATATTTAATTGATTTGTATAATTCTAATTAAAAACGTCCATCTAATTATAATAGTTACAGTGGACAGTACCTATAGTAAACCTTTATGTTACGTTTTGATTAAAGATTTTTAAATTATTTTCAATTAAATATTTTAGTAGTGAAACTTTTGTAACAGTATTTACTTAAGTACTTTTTTGTTTTAAATTACCCTAAAAATATTTGTTTAAAATGTGGTTTACTGTTTAATAATATATTTGTAAACCACAGTTAATCGAAAATTATTTAGTATTCTAAATATTGTTGTCATTCATTTATATTTCCTAAATTTCTACTTTCATCACCATTTGTATTGAGTTGATTATATAGAAAACACTACTTGATTAATGTTTTTATCTTTCTTGTTTAATTAGGTGGTGCTGGTGGCAAAGGTGTTTGGGGAAAGTTAGGCGAAGAAAGCGACTTGGATACAGCTATTGATATGAAGGATCCTAATTATGATAGCGATATGTTGGATGATGATAATATTGTGCTGCGTGAAATTACTCCGGAATCTTCTGATGAAGAACTTAAAGTAATAATCCTAATATTTAAATTAATTTTATTTAAAAATTATAAATCGTGTTAACAAAACTATAAATCTGTTAAAATTAAGAAATTCATTTTTAATCTTATTTCACATTGTTTTAGTTTTTTTTTTATACTTTTAACTATAGTATTGAATATGCATAAAAATTTCTTAAGTATTTATATTGTTTTAACTCTTTTATTATTTTAATAAGTTTTTATTGTTTTATAAATATATTTTTTTCTTTTCAAAGTTATGTATAATTGTTTACATTTAATAATTATGTTAAATAACATTTCTTGTTAAAATAATTTTTAGAGTTCCATTACATTTAATATTCTTGAGTATTATGAACATGGTGATACTGAGGAAGTAACAATGTCATTAAGTGAACTTAATATAGTTAGCAAATGGCATTTGGTAAGTCTTATATTTATTCTAAGTCATTCAAATAAAAAATAAAGTTTATAATTTGTTTTTCTTTCAGATCACTCAAGTTGCTGTTGAAGTAGCTTTGGAACACAAACCATCTCAGAGAGAAATGACTTCTGTATTGATATCAGATTTGTATGGGCGTCTAATTAAACAAAAAGAAATTGCTCAGGGATTTGATGTTGTATTGTCTAATCTTCCTGACCTTATTCTTGATACTCCTGATGCTCCTATTGTTGTTGGCTGTTTCTTAGCCAGAGCCATTGCAGACGATTGTCTCCCACCCAAAATTATAGACTTTTTCAAAGAGAAAAACTACAGTGATTTAGCTAAGTTAGTGCATAATTTACAATTTTAGTGTAATTTAATTTATTTACATTATTTTATTATATCTAGTGAAGCGTTGATTAAGGCTTATAACTTGTTGAATATTAAACATGGACTGACTAGACTTGATAATGTTTGGGGTGTTGGTGGTAGTCTGAGACCAGTACAGTATCTTGTGAGACAAATGAATATGCTTTTGGATGAATATTTGTGCTCTGGAGATTTGCAGGAGGCCATCAGATGCATTTTGGAATTGGAAGTTCCACATTTCCATCATGAACTTGTTTATGAGGTTTGTATTATTTTTTCTCTACTAGTATAATAAAACTATATTTTTATATTCTTATTATTATAAAACTTTTTAATTTTTTAATTACATCATTATACATGTTTGTATTAAGAATTATTTTATTAATAATAAATTAATCATTAGGCGGTTGTTGATGTTATTGAAGCTATGAATACTCATACTGAAATTGCTATGTGCAAATTACTCAAAGCATTGTATGATGCTATTATCATAACACCAGAAATGATGAATAGAGTATGTATAATCAAAGAGTTGCTATTAATAATGATTAAATAATATTTGTATTCTTAATTCCTGTTAGGGTTTTGATAGAGTATTTGATGTTCTGGATGATATATCTATTGATGTGCCATTAGCACCTGCAGTTCTTGAACGTTTTTTGGATAAATGTGTCAATGCTGGTTTCTTAAAAAGGGATATATTGCATAAAATGCCAACAAGGTATAGTAATTATTTATTTTTTATTTTTTATTCTCATATTAAAATTGTTTTGTTTAATTTTTAGAACATCTCGTAAGCGATATGTGTCTGAAGGTGATGGTGGTCGCCTCAAAGAAGCATAAGAACTTAACAAATATACTCCTTTTCTCTACAATCCTTCTACCTCTCGAGTACAGTATTTTTTCTTTAAAATTTGAATTAAATAGAAGTATTTTTTTTTTAATTTTTTTTTAATTTAATTTTTTTGTTTATCAATTAAGATCTTAATTATAAAACTTAATTATTTCATTACATTAACCATATTCCAGTTCGCTAACACTACTATTAGTAATATTAAGAATATGTATGGCTATATAAGCAATTATATCACTTAGCCGTAGTATTTGAACGCCAGCTAAGTGTTGCTTCTAGATAAACAATTAAAAAATACAAAACAAGAAAAAAAATGGTGTATTATTAATAAATTGTATCTCATATGTGTTAAGGATTCAAAATTGAACATTTAAAAAAAAATATTTCAAAAATATCATTGTTTATTGATAAATATTAAATCATTAATATATTTGACATTTTAGTGAATACTGTACTCATTAGTATCATACGGTCAAACGATTTAGGGAATTTTCTTTTATTAACTTAGGGTAAAGTTTATAAAAACTAAATGCTTGATAACATAAATATATATTTAATGTAAAATGTATTGTCATAAATTAGTGATTTACTTACAGATAATTATTTAATAACTTTTTCTTGTTAATTTATTTGACATTCTAAATTTACTTTAATGTATTAAATATTTTACAGTGAATGTATTATCCAAATTAGTATGAGATATGTTTTGAAATATTTGTAATGAAATATTGTTTTTTAGTACAAAATTATATACAACAGATTATATTATTATGTATCATTCTTAAGCAATATTTTTTAAGTATTCTAAAATTAATAATTTATTCCTAGTGTTTCCTGTTGTATATCTCAATAAAACTGTATCATGTATCGGGTAGTATAGGTACAATCTATATAATACTATACATGCTCCTAAAAGTTGAATTTAGTGTGTGCACGTGTGTTCAATTTTACAAAGTTAGTTGAAACTTTTATAAAAAGTTTTGTATATTTATGTTAAATTAATAATACAATATACTTTTTATATTTTATTGATAAAATAATATTTGTTTTTATATTTGTCCTAATTATTATAAATTAATTTACATAAGTATTGTATGACGAGATGAAAATGTATTATTACATGCTGATTGAATTTATTTTATTTACATAAGATTCAGTTAATAATTTTTAAGTATGAAAATGACATATGTTGTACAATTTTCTTAAGATTTTTATATGTAAAGATATAATATTATCTATCAGTTATAATTTAATACTAATTGTGTGCTTTTGGTCCAATGTTATTATTATTTTATTCATCATGGTTAGGTATAGTGTATAAATGGATACATACATCATATAAGTACTTGACTTTAATTATAATACAATTTTATTTTCCCAATATCTTACCTTATATAGATCTAATCACTGGAAAATAATATTTCTTTAATATTTTGTAAAGATAGTTATCATTATAGCAGACATTTTTAAAATATTAATTACTCTACGTCTTGATTTTTATTAATGAATAATAGATTTTAATTTAAATCAACTGATGATATTCGCCCAAAAATATATTACATTTATAAATATACCTTAACAGGAAAAATAGAAACATTAAATTGGAAGGATAAATTGTGAAATTCCATGAGAAATGGTTTTCAGTTAAATGTTAGGAATGGATAATAGAGTGATTTATTTACTTATTTGTACTAAATAATATTAACTAAAAATTCTTGTAAGTATTCAAATAATAAAGTGAAAATTTAAAATAATTATGAAATTATAAACTTATTAATCATTAAATCACACAGCAAAGTGATGTTAACTCTATATCATTCATTACAATATAATATTCTTTTTGAAGCAGCTCCAGTGTGTCATTCATTCAGTAATTACCATTCCATAGAAATAATATGTATAGTATTATAATTATATTATATATAATAATTATAATTTTCCGTAATATTTGCCAATTAATATTAAGTGTTAATATAGATGAACTAAATAAAAAATACAATTTTTCTTAAATAAGTAAAAAACCATTTAAAATAATTAGTGAGCTCATCCAAATTCAAGGGTGCAAGCTAAAATAAAATATATTATTATGAATAAAAATCACAAAATATTTTTGGGGTGTAAGCCTGTTCACCTTCTCGTGGTGTACCTTGGGTCACTCTAAATGAACTGGGACGCACTAAGGCTATGTCAAAAATATGACCATTTTTTTGAGGGATGCACTCGGTACATTAAAAAAAAGTAATATCGGGACGCACTCGGGAAACTCCCAGTTCCAAGGATAAAGCGTTAAAATTATTACAAAAAAAATAATAAATATAATTAAATACTATTTTATATTGGTAAATCTTGACAAATAAACAATATTAATGTAAATAAATGAAAAATACTGTCATGCTGTGGTTATTGCTAAAAATTAATGGTCTGCTGCACGAAATATGAGTCACCAAACCATCCCGTTTGAATAGAAATAAGCGATACGTAATTACTTATCTTTTGTCGATAAAAAATGTATTTCCGTGACGACTTTATTTGTCTTATTTTATATATGGATCAAGTCATCGGCTAGTCAATTTCCGCTTGAAATGTTTAAAAATGTCGATAAAACTATCTCGGTTAATTTTTTCTCCGATTTTTGTGTTTAAGTATAATTTTATGGTACGAGGCTACATAGAAAACGTAATATTAAATCCGTATTTTATTCCTCTAACCGGCGTAGAAAGAAATTTACTTTAGAATTTTTCATTTTTGTGCAAGATGAAAAAATTTCGATTTTATAAAAAAAATTTGTTATAAACATTTTTTAGTACCTACTCGTCGCATTTGGAAAAATTTAATACTTTCATAGTTAAACCTGCTTCATGTACATTTTGAATACAAAAAGAAACACCTATACGGTTAGATAAAAATGAATAATGGCTATTGCAATAAATTAGTATAAATTTAGAAGATTTTCATCTCTTCCTGATCAAATTAATAATTTCGTATACACTTATGCAGCTTCAGCAGTGTCTAGTTATCGTAGTGATGAATGAATAATATCGCTTCTATTTTTTGAAACAATTATAAAATTCATATAATTAATACTAATTGATTACAACAACATTATGCTTAAACGTATAAATTTCCCTTCTTCTGAAAATGTTGCAATAACTGTGAAACCAAAATGACAATTATTAGATTTTAAAATGAGACTACAACATTTTCATTACAACTTAATTCAAGAAATGCACCAATTGATGAACTGGAACTGAAAATAAAATTCTTAAACATATGCCTGACGTACCAATTGGTGCATCTAGTGAATCATTATGTGTGTATGTGTTTAGACTGGTTAAAAGAAAGTGGAAAAATAGACATTTTTCATAATATGTATTTAGTATTAAAAATGTTTACCATTATACCAACAAGTTGAACATGCGAAATGATATTTTCCAAATTAAGCATTGTAAAAAATAAACTCAGATATACTATGGACCAAAGATAAACTAGAATTATTAATACTAATATGCATAGAACAAGAATTCGTTTTAGTTTGTAAATTAGATTTTAATAAAATATTGTATACATATATGTTGTTATGTAATATTTATTACAATGAATAAAATTAAAATATATTATTTTTAGTGCATTTTATATAAACATTTTCCTTTACCTATAACGGATTTTAAAATTATTGTGGGCCCTAATTTTTAGTATGTACCCCGGAACTAAAAGTTTGCGCTCGTCTATGACTGAAATTAAAAAGTTTTGTTATTTTTTCTAAACCGATTAAAGGATGAAAATACAAATTTGGTAGTACGTTTTTCGTACGGTCTCCTTCAGTCCCTAATATGAAATTTCTTAAAATTAAAAAAAAAAAAAGTAATATTTACAAAGATACCTCAATCAGGAAAAACATTTTGGACCATTCGTAAACACAAAAATACATTTTATTAGTCTTTACATTTTTAATCGGATGAATGAACAAGTAATAATTTTATATTTGGTTACTTCGCTTCTATTCAAATATAAATCAGTATAATAATCATCCAATTATCTGTTTGTTAAAAGATTATTGCTAACAAATATTTACATAAGTCCTGGAAACCTTATATCAAATAATAAAATCATACGTAATCAACTAATTATGTGAAATGTTTTTACATTTATTTAAAATTTTTTATGTTTTTATAAATTTAATACATAATTTTTGAACACATTTAAAGGTTAGATGTATGTCTATAATCATAATTGAAAATAGGTTTCAGGATCTAAAACAAACATGTAGTCTACCATTCAATTTTGTCATAAAATAAAGTAGATATTTTTTTATTTTTAAATAAAAACATTAAAGGATAATATATTATTTTATATTAAGAGGCGTTGGACTCAAAACAAAGGTTTAAAATAAAAATGTTTACAATTTATTATTATATCTATACTAATACTAAGGAAACAATGAAAATAAGTATAAAAAAACAAATATTTAAAAAATAATTCAAATTGTTGATAAATACTTATGTATACATACCTCGAATAAATATTTTTTAAACAAAGTAAATCGTTTATTGTTGATTATTGTAACTCGTAATAGCTTTTTTAATGGCAGCTAACTGTTTAAATATAACGTTAGGTTCCAAAAAAAAAGCGTTAACATTGTTACAAAGGTAGAATGCAATTAAATAATGCTTTATAATTATAAATTTTTAACAGATAAATAATCATATGGATTATAAATAAATGAAAAGGACTGTCGTGCTAGGGTTATTGCTAAGAACTAATGGTCACGATTTTAAGCGGCACGAGAAATGCTTTTCGATGTTGAATAAAAACGTAAAAAAAACCCAATATCTCGTTCGAATAAAAAAAAAAGTGATACACAATATCTTATCTTAAGGGGATAAAAAATAACTATCGTTATAACTCGATTTATCCTGTTCCAAAAGCGTATTACTAATATATATGTATGTATATGTGTTTGTGTGAGTGTAAATACTGTGAAATATGAAATAAATTATCTGTGGTTAAAATGATAATTATTAAAAGGATGTCAGCAATCGGCTCATGTTCGGTTGCCTTTGTCTATTTAACGTGCAGCATAGCAAAACCATGTTATAGAACATAAATTATATAATTCACATATAACTTGTTTATAGGACATAAATGGTGGCGTATATGATTGATTTCAGAGTTCAAACCGATTTCATCGAATTTACGTCAATGTAAGATTTCGAGTTCGATCCTAAAACTCAAAATTTGACATGGACAAAAAACGCAGCAGTTTATACTTTGTGTAGCTTTTGCCTACGGTCTGCGTTAGTAATACATTTGCCTAGTGGCGCACTTGGGTCTTGGGGCTCTGATGATATAATAAGTTTGAGACCCTATAACTATTTACTTATCATTAAACGC